CGCTGCGTTTGTATGCCAAAACTCGTAAGAACAAAAAAATCTTGCTCAACGGATAAAACTGGCCGGGGGAAAGCCACGCCGCAAAGAATGGTCGATTCCAAGGTCCTTTAGACACAGCTCATGAGTTGCTCCCCAAGATAAAGAAAAAAGATATGCCAGTCCTTGTTCACCCCTGTAAGTCTTTCTCCTTCCCCGACTCATCTCTGCAGCTTAACAATTTGAACATACCAAGCAGAGCGCTTGCAAGCATCCCCAAATACTCAATTGCAAAGCGTCCAAGTTATAGCTCATTTTCCACTATTGGGTTGTCTAAAAGACTGAAAATTTCTAGGAATTTACCCATTTGGGGAAGCAAGCGCATTACTTTTTGCTCTAGGACTGATGTATATGACGTTTTTTCGAGTACCCATTTGGCCAATAAGTCCGAAGGAGATGTAATTGAAGAGAATGAAGAGCTTGAGTTGCTAGATAAGCCTTCCCCTATGCCTATTAATAATGGGTCTGTTTCAGAAGTAGATAAAGATTCTGAAAAACTTGATAATGATTCTGAGAAGCTTGATAAAGACGAGGCCTTAGCGCCTTTCTTGAAGTTTTTCACGCCAAGAGATTCTGCAGATGGAGATGGGGTAGAAGAAAAGGGAGGTGAGATAGGAGTTTTTGAGGAAAAAAGTGAATTGGATGATGAAAATGAGGAAGTTGAGAAGGTTAATGTTGAGTACTATGAACCAAAACCGGGTGATTTTGTGGTTGGCGTTGTTGTTTCGGGCAATGAGAATAAACTTGACGTGAATGTAGGAGCAGACTTATTGGGTACAATGTTGACTAAGGAGGTGCTGCCTTTGTATGACAAAGAGATGGACTACTTGTTATGTGATACGGATTATGATGCTGAAAAATTTATGGTTAGAGGGAAGATGGGAATTGTGAAAACTGAAGCTGTGGATGGGGGAGCAATTCCAGGGAGGCCTGTTGTTGAAACTGGAACTGTTTTGTTTGCTGAGGTTCTTGGAAGAACGCTTAGTGGTAGGCCTTTACTTTCGACTAGGCGACTCTTCCGGCGAATTGCTTGGCATCGAGTGAGGCAGGTTCTTATCTTGCTTTTTCCTTTTTTCTGTTTAGTGAATATAGCAACTTATATGGTCAATTTAAGTGGTTGCTGCATGACTTCTTATGAGCTTTTTCGGAATATGTTGCCTCTGTCGCTGCATGTTTGGGACCATATTTATATCTTATAGGTTTATAGGAACCATACACTCTTTTGTTATCAAGATTCATGAACTTGATTTTCTCTTCACAACTACTTTGTTGGTGGCTGCATTTAGCTCATAATATCTTGCAGTGTTAAAGTTTGGTGAGGATGTAATCCAAACTTTCTTTGAAGCTTTTCTACTTGTTCTACAGATAAAACAACTGAATGAACCTATTGAAGTTACAATTACAGAATGGAATACCGGAGGCCTTCTTACAAGAATTGAGGTTTGTGTCTGGCTTTTGAACATTGCTAAATGCAGTCATTTCAAGCCTAACATTTCTACAATTTGGATCTTCAGGGTCTGCGAGCTTTCCTCCCAAAAGCTGAGTTATTGAGTAAAGTGAACAACTTCACTGAACTCAAAGAGAATGTAAGTTGATGGTTGTGCGGAATTTTATATATTTATTGTTTCATGTAATGTTATTCATTTAGCTACTTTTCAGGTATGATCTGTATTTCTTTATGTTGATGCATTCAACCCATTAATCAATTCTAATATCATGTATGCACTGGAACTATTTATTGCTAGAACACTTTAAGTATGTGGAATGCATGAGTTCTATAACTTCTATGAGATGCCATCAGTATTATCAAGGGAAGATAGTATAAGAAAAATAGTTGGACGTTCTATAACATCAGTGGAGCTTGTGTTTACTGTAAGCACTTGTAATCACTGGACATAATCCATTAGACTCTGTTTTCTTACAACCGGTGTTTTGTAATGATATGGGCATGCTTGACTTGACTATGCTACTTGACTTGACTCTGTTTTCTTACAGCCAATTTCAAGAGTCATTAGCTACTTGACTTGACTTGACTTGACTATGCTAATAATGGGGTCCATGACTAATTCACTATGTACTTGCAAAGATTTGTTTTGTTAGTCTGCTTCTTACACATTCTGTTTCCTAATGGTGTAGGTGGGATGCCGGATGCATGTGCAGATTACTCGCATGGATGAAGCTAAGAATGACTTAGTATTGAGTGAGAAAGAAGCTTGGGTGAGTTTCATATTTGAAATTTAATTTATTCATGCTCTTTTGTTGCATGCACTGTTCTCTCATTGTTTGTTCTTAGATTTTATGTTTTTATTTTTCTTAAAAACTAACCTCAGTTGGCAATATAATGTTGCAGGAAATGTTACATCTTAAAGAAGGAACACTTTTAGAAGGAACAATTAAGAAACTTTTTCCATATGGAGCCCAAGTGAGGATAGGCGAAACTAACAGGAGGTAAAGGACTTTCAAACTTACCTCAAAATTAGACTGGCTATATGGTTTCCCTGATTTTACCACTTTTTAAAGAAATGCTGTATGTACAGTGCACATTTCAAAGATTAGAAACACCAGGACATGAAAATAAAATTGTATGGGGTTTTCTTTGAAAAGTATCTACATGCATGGAAAAGATGAGAAGATAACTTTAATCTTCAGAAAGGAAATGAAATTTCCAAATTTTAAACTGTAAAGGCATGCAATTTTGTACCATTTTTACCTAGCAAGTTGTGGCAATGAGAGAATGAGTTATGAGTTGTCCTCAAAACTTTGAAGAACTTCTACTCATTCTTGAAGATTAAAACACATAAGAAATGTATCAAAAAGACATTATTGTGGCAATGAGAATGTAAGTTGAAATAACTTGAAATGTATCATGGACTTTTTCTGCTTCCTCTAATGTAGATAGAGCCATGCAAGTTGAAATAACTTGAAATGGAGATAATCTTATCATTCAGTATGCTGGACGCACCTGCTAGGTTTCCTTTTTGTTATATTTTGTTTGAAGACTTCTTTTTTGTCTGAGTATAAAAGTTCTATGTAGTTGTCATTTCCTACTTACACCAGTTCTTGTGTTCACTTGGATCAATATTCTATTCAATTGTGTACTAATTATAAAATGCCACCCAGGTTGGTTCCTTGACTCTCTTTTTTTGGGTAAAGACGGGGGCTAGAAATTAGAGTTTAGATGGATAAAGTGCGGTCACATTGTCAATAAAAAGTATAATATTCCTGAGGCTTATTCTTGTTGAATTTTATTGATTATATAATATCTTGATTGCATCAATTTGTATCCAAGACTATAGATGTATCAAACAAGCGAAATATGTGTCTCCTGTTTTGACTGGTGGATCGACAATTTGAACCTTCTTATTGTTTCTCAGTGGCTTGCTGCACATATCAAACATGACTCGTGGTCGAATTACCTCTGTCAGTGACATACTTAAGGTTAATGAGAAGATCAAAGTTCTGGTTGTGAAGTCAATGTTTCCTGACAAAATATCTCTCAGGTATACAAGGGGATGAGATGCTTAAATTTCAGTTCAGTCATATTCCATACATTTGTGGTTGAGAAAATCTCCGTGATCTTTTTTCCTAGTAAATTCATAATGCTTCGGGCTATTCTGTAGCAATGTTTTCAACACCAGACCTAACTGGCCAATCCAATCTATTAAACAGGGAACTGGTCACACTTCCAATTTAGGCATAATGTATGACCCATTTTTGGTCAAATCATGAATTGAACCAGATGGACCAAAAGTTTGACCATTAAACTGGTGACTCGTTCTGGTTTTTTTGACCCAGTCAAGATCTCTATTCCATATTCCGTAGGATAATAAAATTGGTCTTTTCAGGAAAAAGAATGCATAAAGGGACACAAGAACGGACATAAACAACAACTGACAAACCATTTTGTGTTATCAATGTGTCATTTATTATTTAAAAGAGATCTTTGCTTAGTTATATATTTCTTTCTTTGCCAAGAGAATCACATTGCTTCAGTTATTTGTTGGCCACAAAAATAAATTATTTGATGCCTTGGCAGCCAGGCCATAATTGATGCTAACTCTTTCTTTTTCTTGGCAGTCTAGGCCCTAAACTCTGATTCTCTATGTAGGTTGATCATAAATGGATGATCATTCTGTTGAATTTGCCCATCATGTTGTGACTACATTTTAAAAGTCATGTACTATAATTCATAACAGATTATCAGTTTACATAATGAACTGCAGAGCTTAATCATGCAGCATAAAATGTTTAAACGGATATCAGTAACTGAGAAATACATTAAGGTGAATCAGTTTTCTTGTTTTATTTTTTCCCCCAACGGAAAGTACTTTATGATGAATAGATTGCCTGGAATGGTGGCAGTGTTCAGTTTGCCACTTAGGGCTCCCTCTGGTTCCAAAGTTATCCTCATGAACTAGCTAATGTCTTTGCTGATTTCCTTTTACTTTTTTTTTTTTTTTTTCCGTTGAATTCATATTGTTGAACAATCCTAACTGATACAAATTCAACTTTGCTTGGCTTACAGCACTGCTGAACTTGAAAGTGAACCTGGCCTCTTTTTATTAAACAGAGAGGTATTTATATTGTTCTTTCTGCTCAGAAATGAAATTACTCGTTTGGTCTGAGAATTGCTTGCATAACGATTTGTAATCTTAATAGAAAATTTCTTCCTTCTGGCAGCAAGTACTTTCAGAGGCTGAAATGATGGCAAAGAAGTACAGGCAAAAGCTGCCTGCTGTTCCCGGCAATCGTAAGTCAGAATCCCCTCAAAGCGATGCTCTACCTTTTGATAAATTAAGCATGTATGCAAATTGGAAGTGGTTCAAATTTGAAAAGGAGGAGTAAGAACGAAGCTGATGCTTATGGTCGCCTAGTGATACTGGCAATTTAAAAAAGCACTATTAAACTTTTCCATCCTTCTCGAAGCCATGCATCCCTCGAGAGGTAAAAAGAGCAAAATATTTTGTTTTAGGAGTAGTCTTAGATTGGTTTATTTACTTCATTTACCTCATGACCCGTTAGAAAATGTGCAGAACCAAAAAGTATGAGATGCTCACAGCAGAAAACATGATTATCAGTTTGAGTATTCTCATGAATTTTGTAAATCGTAATTTGTTATTTCCTCTTCTCTTTTACACTTCTTTCTTGTTATCTGAGTCTCCGAAGCATTCATTTGATTATTGTAATCTGATTCGTCACCCATGAAACTGATTTTAACACGCTTCCCAACCAACAAGCTCTACTGAACTGGGCTGTGTAATGATGTTTTGCAGTTGACATATATATGCACTACGTCATCATTTGGCCCGTAGGGCCCGACCTGCTCTAAGGTTGGGTAGAGTTTGAGCTTAGGTTTTGAAACTTTTGGCCCCTCCTCGGTCCGGTCCAACAAGGCCCACCCATGACCCAGCTCGAGTAATCCCGCTCATTGCCTTGCTTTTGGTTTCCCCTTATATTGCCTTATTTTCATTATAAACATTTACATAAATGTCAAGACATTTACTTAAATTTACAAAGCAAATAAAGAAGTAATCCTCATTTGGATTCAATAAATAAAAAACTAGAAAATCCAATTCCCAACTAATTAAAATATTAAAATCCAATTTTAGTATAAGATACAATTTATACCAATATTGATACCTCAATAAGTCAATGTATACTTTATACTAAAATCTCATAAAATCATGTTTGATTATTTAAGTTGTAAGGAATATATGCCGCCAAAAATATCATTGAAAACATTAGTATTTCAAGAGTCCATTTTTCATACTTGGTCTGATTTTGATAGAAAACTATTTTTCAAGTATGATATGCAGTAATAAGGCAAGGCAATATAAGACAAAAAAAATAAAGGCAATGTGTGGCTTGCCCCTGGTTCGAAAAGCCCACTTAGGCCCTGCCTTATGGGTAGACTCAGACCGATCCCTTTCAAATCTTGGCCTGGCCTGGCCTGAAAAAAGAACCCTTTATTACAAGGCCCGGCCCGATGACCCTCTATTACAACATTTTTACATGAAATTCTATTTTTAAATTCCACGTACATTTGGTGCCTAAGATTGAATTAGATTGGATTGGTTAACTCACAAGATTCAAGTATGCTAATATCCTATCATTTTGTGGGGATTTAAAGGATACATTTCCCTCTTGACTAATGTTCTACCTTCAACTTGGGCAAAATCTGGCATTTGGCTTCTGTTTCTTCCTTCAACATGTCTTCAATCTAATGAGTTATCCAATTCAATCTTTAGCACCAAATATGGCCAGAGATAGATATAGAACTCAAAGAAATCTTTTCATTTGGAAATTTAAACACTCTTTTTGTTATTTGGTCACTCCTTTCCACCCGTTTGACTATTGTCTTTAATCCCAACTCAAAACTCAGAGTTGGGATACCCCCATTGAATACTCAGGTTTGCTCATCTCTGATAATTAAAATGCACTCTTTTCTTCTTCTTTATTATTATTTTGTTCTGGTTTTTTCTTTGTTTCCTTATTCATAGTGGTCTTTAAATGGCAATGATAAATTTTAACTGTCTTGGTTCCTTTCAGTTTCAGCTCAAATTTGGCTTCTAGTAGTGATATAGGTTTTGTTGGTAGGACGACCAAAGTTGCAGTTGGTTAACACAATTCCAAACCCAATTCAAAATCTTTAAATTTTTATTCATCAATGTTATGAATTTCTCTTATTAAAATTGGTAGCCAAATTTGTGAGTAATTTGATGTTCCTCTCAATGTTGGAAATCTAAGGCTTGAACTTGATTAAAATGTGCTAGGCCTATACTTATGACAACAAACAAACCCTAGTTTATAAATAACAATACCTCTTGCCATCACATATTTAAACAGATGGCAGTAGCTGCAGAATTCCACCTGTACTAGAGAACAAAACTAAGGATAACTATGAAGTTAAAAAATAAAATAAAAAATAAAAAATCAGAAAAATACAGACAAGATGAAAGGTTCAAGAAGAGTTAAAACAAGACAAATTTGGATGCACAGAATCTCTGTTCTTAAGAGTGATGACTAAATTAATGTATTATTTGTTGTTGTTTAGTCATTAAAAAGGCTTGGAAAAGAATCTGAAAAAACAAATGCATATTTATGAAATGAAAATTTTCATATTGACCCAAAAGGTCTTCATTTTCTTGACCCACAACAGGATTCCAGTAATATGTCTATTACCAACCCTAGCCTACTAATTAAGAAAATTAATTTATTTGCTATATTAGGGCACATACATTTGATCATAATTAGTCTGCAGCTCTTTTTGTCTTCTTCATGTTTTCTACTATTTCTTTAAGATTTATTTATTTATTTATTTTATTTGCGGTGAAATTGCTTTAAAATAAAATATCCCTAGACCAGGTTCAGGTTCTCATATGCCCTAAATAATTAGGGTTTGGGGCTCCATGAATTAAATTAAAAGACCTACAAGTCACCAAAAACAGCTTGGGTTGGGTTGCCAAATGTGATTATGAGGCGAGCCTTGTTTGGCCGCATACGACGTAATTTGTCTGTGAAGTGGGATTTCAAGATTTTATAATGATACATGATCCTTTAGGATCTTTACTTGCATTTGAAGATTAATACAAGTGTAATTAAACACTTCTTGAGGGAAGTGGGGAAATAAGCAAAGATTAGTATATAGTTCAAAATTTTGATCTTCTCCAGTATAACAAATGAACAATTGCTGGCATTTCGTCATGATTTTAATCAAAAAATGATGCAGAATTTTAGTACCAAAAGTACATGAGGCTCTGAGCTTGAATCAGCAGCAGAGTTAGAATTTTCGAACTTCACAAAATAAAATACAACATATAATGAGTGGTTTCACTACTAATAATATTGAGACCTTTTATATAAAACATTACACCTATCGAACTATAAAACCTCAGACCTATCGAACCATAGAGGTGCATTATACTTAGAATTCAATCCTTGATGATATAATGTTATTAGTGAAAATATTAGAACAATATTTTTAAATACTTGCAGACCCAGGTGCATGCTGGTAGGCTAGCTCAAGTCCACTCCTACATTGGGCACTGACGACCCAGGAAAAATTAAACACAAACAACCTTTTTAGAGGACGATAAAGCTCACAACTAATTTTTTAATGTACACCTTGTACAAATTAAATTTTAATATATTAGTACCCTTAATTTGAATATTATATACTGAGCAAAACAGTAGTACAATTATTAATATATTATTTCAATTATTTTTGACATATGTTCATTTTCCTAAATCCTCAGAATTCATCCCAGGTGAGGGATAAGGTCATAAACTTAAATATATTTTCTTGGACAGCATCAGTGCATGGATTAATTATACTTGAAACTTAAGAAATATGAACCTGCATTTTCCTTTCATTAATATCTAATTACACGCTTTTTTTTAAAAGATATTTAATTATACTTGATTTTATATAATCCCATCATTGGTTGACTCTTCTTGGTATTTGAAAATTTTCATATGGTTGATGGCCCCTATCCTTAACTTGATGGATTTTGATCACTTGTGGCTTAAGTTTAGCTGACATGTGTAGTGAATGGACTATCTCACTTACGATGGATCTCAATCAATTTCACCCTCTCCTGTAGAACCAATTCCCCAAATATACTAGACGTAGATACTTTCCTTCCCATACTATGCATGATTACTAATCAAGTTCATCTACATTAATTTCACTTGGAAATTAAGAGTAATTTTTTTTTAAGAGATCGAGATAAATATAGTAAATAGACATCTTAATTACTAGGGTTGGGCAACCGAACTAAGATGGAGCGGAAGAGAGATTTCGACCACTGGACAGACGTTATCGATGATTGCTTCAATTGACTATGATCGGTTCATTGAGAAATTAGTTCTGTGGTTCCAATTTCGACGAGAATTGGTGGCTCTCGTCAACAACTAGATCCAATGGCCTCTGTTCATAATTGAGAGAGAGAGAGAGAGAGAAGAATCGAGAAGTGGCAAGACAAAGAGAGATGCGGTAAGATTAGGGTTATACCTTCGTTTGTAGGGGCTCCAAGCTTCGATGGGGGCCATGACCTCACGTGTAGAAGAGAATGGCAAGACTAGTCAAATACAACATGCCGTACATATGTGTTTTTTTAGGTGAAATAATATAATTTGCTACTTCAAAACATCAGTTTAAGTTTTAAATTTAATGTTGGAATTATGTAATTTTAGTATTTTACTTCTAATTAGGCTTCCAGTGATTAAGGGTTTAAGGTAGTATTAAAAGCTGTTTTAGCTTTGTGATTAGAGTTATCCATATTACTATTCAATAATACTTTGTCTTTCCTTAATTATGCTATGTTATGTGTGCATGGAAAGACGAGTGAAGTATCGTAAAGTATCGACTCTATAGAAACACATGTTTGCAATCTATTTGGACAGACTAATATCAAGTACACTTGTTAAACTATTAAAATCATCATCACATGCCAAGAAAATAAAGGGCATAATTCAATTTATATTACTGGATTTTCTTTTGTTTCTTTGCAGTACCAAGAAGTATAATATTGGAAGCGGAATTTTAAAAAAGCTTGTTTGTCAGTATCAGTTTATACAGACACATTAATCAAAGCCTAAACTCTATGAAATTCAAAATAGCTGGTTTAGCAAGCACTATATATACTTCAGTGTATATACTTTTAGAAGGCAGCGGAAAAAAAACAGCATAATTAACTGGTGAAAGATAAAATGTGAAGGGGATGATTTGTGTATATAAGGAGAGCATGTCACATGAGTTTATATAAGGAGACCACTTGGGTTCACTTTCCATGAATCCTATTCCATCTCTCTACCTCTCTAGGGTTTATATATACTCTCCTTCTGTTATTTCATCTCTTAAATAAGCTTATTTGAAGGTCCCATTGTGGGGCTCATCCAATATTCTTTTTCAATGATCCAAATCATTTAATTTTGAAGTGTTACTCATAGATCATTTTTTGAAATATTAAAATGACTAATGGTCCACATAAGGGTGTGTATCAAATAAAAACGGGATGGGTCGCTCTCTCATCTTGTTTTTTACTAATAAAGAACGGGTTGGTGTGGTGATAGAGGAAGTAACCGCTTTCGATCAATTTTTTGGATTTGGTACGAATTGCTTTGCTAATAAGGCAA